AGAACTAGAATCATTCGGGTTTAGCCGTCTTGAGAGACGTGCGGCTAAATCCGAATGTTTCTAGTTCTAGATCTAGTGTTAGTTCTAGTATTACACTAGCACTATCACTAGAACTAACACAAGACCTAGAACTAGAATCATTCGGGTTTAGCCGTCTTGAGAGACGTCCGGCTAAATCCGAATGTTTCTAGATCTAGGTCTAGTGCTAGTTCTAGTTTTAGTTCAATAAGAAATAAACAACAATCTAAGGCTGAATAACAACTAAAACTTCAGCTAACACTAGCATTAGAACTAACACTAGATCTAGAACTAGAAAGATTCGGGTTAAGCCGTGCTTCTCTTAAGACGGCTACACAGGAATGTTTCTAGATCTAATATGAAATAATAAATAAGAAAATAAATGTTAAGAATTTGCTCTACTTTGAAAATGAAAAATTAATAGGAGTTAATTAAACGTAGACATTAAAAAAGTGAATTAGCAATTTAAATACATAAACAACCCAAGTATATAAATAATAAATTCCTTGAGGAAATCCTCATTTTCAATAAATAATCTACATTCACCATGAACTAAACGGATTTCAAAGAATTAAATGCTCGGTTGTTTTACTATTGATTAAAAAGTGAAAGGAGTGTAAAGTAGTATTTGCAACACTCTGAGATATAATCGGCTGCTCTTCGTTCAACCGGCGAATTGCTTTGAGTGATTCGAAAATGGTATAATTAGTTTTATGCGAAAGCAAGGCGAAACTTACGAAATAACGTTTCCGAATTGGACATGCGCATCTGTTCTGGAACTGGATTGTTAAACAACGGGATCCTCATCGAGTTTCTTTGCGGCATATTTCCGGCATTCTCCGGTCTAAAGGTCCCATTTGAAAATGATCTCATCGTATTTACCCAAGGTTCACTTGTACTATATATGAAACTACCATCTATCCAACTTGTAACTTGATTCAACTGCAAATTTTAAAAAATCCAAATTAAGATTAAATAAAATTAAAATTAAATTTAAATTTTTCTTACTTGCTCCCTTGGACTATTTGGACTTTGCCCAGTTTTTCTATCATAAGCGGCACGATGAAAAGGGATATGTTTGTTTCCATCGCATTGTTTATCGTACATATGATCGCATTTTTCCACTTCGATGTTGTGCATCTCGATTGGGCAACCGCTTTCACTGGCCATAACAATTTCCGACGTGACCAATTGACCGAAAAACGCTAAAAGGGCGGTTTTATTGTTTAAAGATGCTAAACCGTCCGCACCACGCATAAATAACCGACTTAGTTTTCTTGTACTCGGTCGATCTTGACCAGCCATCATATAAACTCCATCAGAATAAGCCGATGATGCTTTACGAATAAGATGACTATCTAAAAACACCAACAAAATAATTTAAACCATAAATCATTTCTTAACGCTATAATTTTTTGATAACAATCAACCCAAAGAGAAAAAAAAATAAATGATGTTAAACAAACGAGGTCATCTAATAATAATTTTTTGCTTAAAGTTGTTTCTTTGTGTAATGATCCTTTGTTTTCTTTAAACTAAAAATGTAAAACATCGGGTATCTTCTTTAACATTAACATGAATTGTATTTTATGTCAGGTGTTCAAGAAGCTAATTGAGTCTGATTGAAAGTATTTACTCGTCCGCTGACATCATTGACCAATAGATATTTTTGCCACGATCGCTTCAGTTTTTTATTTCTTTCTCTTTACCGATATAGTTCTTCTGCTCGAATTTGAAATTTAAAAATTACTTTTATAATTCAAACGCGTGATTTTAATAAAAGATTTGCAGCAAGTTAACCAATTATGGATTATTAGCGTAACTTATTTTTGCAATTAACTTATTAAATGAGTATAAATAATGATTAAATCATTTAATTTATTGGGTTAAACCACAAATGCCGCAAATTACACAATGAATGCTCATAAATCATTTTGTTAATGTTGGTTTGTTTCAATTAGCTCATCTATTCTAGTTAAATGATGAATTCATTTTTAATTGATATACAGAGCAATAACTCAAGTATTTTTTGCTGTTATTCTGGGATCAATAAACTTTCCAAATCAAAAAAATATAATTTATAACTGTCTCGAATCTAATTCTAACCATTTCTTAGGTAGGATGTAAAAATCGCCGAAATCTCAAAGAAAACGATCTTTGTTTTAAAATCGGGAATATCTCAAAAACTGAGAGGAATAGAGAAAAGTAGGGTTTATTAAAATTGTTTGAAATGACCTCAAAAATTGATATTTATAATTAATTTTAACTTAAGAATGACTATTTTGTAGATATAAAGCAACATTGCTCAAAATCATAAAGAAAACGATGTTTGTCATTGAATCCGAGAATAACTTTAAAACTAAGAGAGATAGAGAAAAGTAGCATGGATTAAGGTTGTTTAAAATGAGCTCAAGAATATATATCCAATATCTATTTTAACTTAAGAATGACTACTTTGTAGGTGTAAAACAAAAACCCTCAAAATCTTAAAGAAAACTAAGTTTCTCCTTGAAACCGAGAATAATTTAAAAACTAAAAGGAATAGAGAAAAGATGCATGGATTAAAGTTGTTTAAAAGAAGTCAAAAAATATATATTCATCATCAATTTTAACCTAACTATGACCATTCTGTAGATATAAAGCAAAAATCCTCAAAATTTCAAAGAAAACGATGTTTGTCATTGATGCCGAGAATAACTCAAAAACTAAAAGGAATAGAGAAAAGAAGCATAAATCAAAGTTGTTTAGAATGAGCCCAAAACTATATATCCATAACCAATTTTTAACTTAAGAATGACTATTTTGTAGGTATAAAACAAAAATGATTAAAATCTTACAGAAAAAGATGTTTGTCATTGAAACCGAGAATAACTCAAAAAGTAAAAGGAATTGAGAAAAGTAGCATCAATTAAAGTTGTTTAAAATGAGCTCAAGAATATATATCCAATATCTACTTTAACTTAAGAATGACTCCTTTGTAGGTATAAAACAAAAACCCTCAAAATCTCAAAGAAAACTATGTTTCTCGTTAAAACCGAGAATAACTTAAAAACTAAAAGGAATAGAGAAAAGAAGCATAAATCAAAATTGTTTAGAATGAGCCCAAAATTATATATCCATAATCAATTTTAACTTAACAATGACTATTTTGTAGGTATAAAACAAAAATGAACCAAATCTTACAGAAAAAGATGTTTGTCATTGAAACCGAGAATAACTCAAAAAGTAAAAGGAATAGAGAAAAGTAGCATGAATTAAAATTGTTTAAAATGAGCTCAAGAATATATATCCAATATCTATTTTAACTTAAGAATGACTACTTTCTAGGTATAAAACAAAAACCCTCAAAATCTTAAAGAAAACTAAGTTTCTCGTTAAAACCGAGAATAACTTAAAAACTAAAAGGAATAGAGAAAAGAAGCATAAATCAAAGTTGTTTAGAATGAGCTCAAAAATATATGTCCATAATCAATTTTAACCTAAGTATGACCATTTTCTAGTTGCAAAGCAAATACTGTCAATATTTCAGATGAAAACAGACTTTTATTACTAAAATCGATCATTACTCCAAAATTAAATCGATGGGTAATAAATGTATTATGTATGAGCATTACTCATAATGAACCAAAAACATTATTCCTAACAACTTTTAACCTAGCTCATACTATTTCCTGGATACCATGGAAAAATCACTCAAAAATCTCAAAGTGGATGTTTCTCATTGAAATCGAGAATAACACAAGAACTAAAATTGATAGAAACAAACGACATGAATGAAAATGTTTTAGAATGTTGAGCATTATGTTATAACAAATTATAAGTTTCCAAGGTGGCCACTGCTAGAATAAAATTTAAAAAATCGCAGAGTAAATATGAGGTTTGTTGAAAATCGATTAAAGATAAATAAGAAGTGTTTTCTCCAAACAACTAGAAAATTAGAAATGAATCTTTTTGAGGTATCAAAACAACTTTTATTCATAAATTATACAAAATTTTAAGTTTCTCATATGATTAGTTCTTAGAATAAAAATTTCAAAAAATCACCGACTTAATTTAATGACTATGGGAAGTGAAATCAATGAAAAAATTGTTTTCGCCAAAACGGTTAAGAATTAAGAAATGAAACTTTTTGAGCTTCTAAAGGAACATTTAAGGTTGTGTTATACCACTTTATAAGCTTCCAGGATGACTACTTTATTTTATATAAAATTTTAAAAACATAGATTTAATTTGACCTTTGTTGAAAAACTGGTTAAAGAAATAAATTTTTTCTTCAAAACGGTTAGGAATTAAGAAATGAAACTTGTTGGGATTCTAAAAGAACGTTTGAGATTAGGGTATATATATAAATTTACAAGCTTCTTGGGTGACCACTGAGATTACATTTGAAGTTATGTTAAAATCATATATTAAAAGTAAAATTAATGAAAATAAATGTTTCTCCAAAACGGACAAGATTTAAGAAACGAAACTTGTTATGGTTATAAAGGGACATTTAAGGATATGTTATACCAAATTATAAACTTCCAGGATGACTACTTTATTTTGTACAAAAGTTTAAAAATTGCAGAATTGCTTGAAGAATGAGGTACCAACAGATGAGGGTTTGCTGATCGATATCAATTCAACATTCGCGCTTAGCGTAGTCAGTGATAGGATTGTAAGTAAGTTACTTTGTTTAATTAATCACTGAATACGAAAACCTTTGTAGTTGAAGTCTAGCAAGTGGATTGCCTTAATACGTTTAAATGTAAGTGCAGAATAGTCCAGAATATTATCTAATAGATAACAACGATTTATCCAGATGGGGCTAAGAGGTGGGCTGCTTTGATGATCCTTGTTGGTAGCAGTGAAAATGAGTAGAAAGTGTTGGTAGCATTCTAATTAATGAGTTCTGGAATTAAGACACGAATTTGTCAATAATAAATTAGAATGTTCCTGAATTAAACTTGATTGACTGGAAATACTAATCTACCATACTGATTACCAAAAGAGAAAACAATTATAAAGATAGCAGCATCGTTCTGTTATGTTTTGATGGTGAGAGTGATGGAAATAAAAATGATCGCTTAGAAGCTAGAAATGATGACGATAATAATGGAGAATAGATAACAATAAATTCAGAAACTAAGAAAACTCATTAAAAAGTGTTTAGCTCTAGAAAAACGTACTAATAAATTGTCAAAATTGTCAAATAGGGATTTAAAGCCCCATTTTCGCAGGATGGAAGTTTGTTATTTCGAGAATTATCGTCTCTAGGTGGAAATTCTAACCTTGCCATTACAATTTGACCTTAATAACAATTTTGAATAAAATCTTATAAATCTTTATCAATATTACAGCTAATATCTCAAAATTGACTTCACATAAACACGTCAAAAATTATGTCAACTTATAATTGGACCGCCTTATGTATCACTTGACTAAGCGACAAATGAATAATGTTGAGAAATTAACTTACAAATTAAAGTTTAAAAAGTTGTAAAATGAAATTAAGGACGAAGTGTTAAAATTTAAGAACACTCTATTTTAAGAAAAGAAATATTGCCAGGAACGATTAAATAATTCATGAACACGAAGACTTGTCGATGTGAAGATTGCATTTTAGGTTCAACCGATGTTCGTTATGGAACATATTTATTTTGTTCATATTAAGAAACTTTGGAAAAATTCAAGAATCATCATGTGGTTTAAAATGGTTCGATAATTTTTTTAATCAATGTAAAATAACCCAAAAAACACGTTAAAAATAAAAAGAAAGTGCGGAAAAGTGACTAATACTAGATTAACTTCAGTTATAAAACTTCTATTATATGATAACTAACTTCAGATTTAAAATGTCAACCTCAATTTTGACATATTTTTAATCTTCATTCAAAATCCTTTAAAATGAGTACAAACACGACATATTTATCTTCAATATTAATGAAGTTATGGTCAACTTCCGGTTAAGAATGTCAACGTCAATTTTGACATATTTGTAATCGTCGTGAAAAATCCTTTAAAATGAGTCCAAACATGATAGGTTTAATTCCAATATTACTCGAGATATAAGCAACTTCCGGTTTGAATTGTTAATGTCATTTTGACATATTCTTAATATTTATAAAATGTCTTAATATCTGTCACAAAAACAATAATATAATAAAAAAAATAAAAAATTAAGGTTGGTATTAATATTTAAACATTAAATTGCTATCTTTATTGTTGCTAACTTCAGGTTTAATGTTTTTTTATTCTAACTTTTTTGTTTTTTGAGATAAGTGCGTCATCTTTGGGCTCATTTTAAAGGTTTTTCAATGAAGATGACAAATATGTCAAAATTGACATTGACGTTTCAAACCGGAAGTGATTGTATTTCAATTAATATTAAAGGTAAATATGTCGAGTTTGGACTCATTTTAAAGGATTTTTTATGAAGTTGACAAATATGTCAAAATTAAAAGTTGAAAGTTCGAACTTTTTGGTTTTTGAGATAAATGCGTCCAGTTTGGACTCACTTTAAAGGTTATTTTATAAAGATTACGAATCTAATAATAAAATTAAAGTTGACATTTACAACTGAAAGTTTTTTTCACGACTCCTGAATGTTTCTAGTTCTCGTTCTAGATTTAGTTCAATAAAAATATACAACATAGTAATATCTTATGCTAACTAGCGCTACCTACCACTGCCACTAGAACTAACACTAGACCGAGAACTAGAAACATTCGGATTTAGCCGCACGTCTCTCAAGGCGGCTAAACCCGCATGATTCTACTTCTAGGTCTTGTGTTAGTTCTAGTTTTAGTGCAATAAAAGATTGTATCTAAGTCGGTTCTTAGACGTATGATGCAAATCGGACTTAAAATCGAATAACGTGATTAACGCTTAGCTTTATCCTTTAGAACAAATAGTATTTTAGGTCTTTCACTTAGTCAAGTGATGTATAACGCGGTCCAATTAATCATGCCCAATAATTAAATAAGCCAAATAAATAAATATGTTTAACAATGACCCTGCATCTCTTAAATTCCTCAACCAGTCCCTTGGTATGAGTCATGCTGAGTAAACCACCATATTTTATATCTTTTGTGCATCTTCCGTCCTTTCTGACATGCTTTGCAAGTAGCTTTGTTGTAGCTTTGTATGTAACAGTTGGAACAATTTTTTCAATTACATTTTAAAACTTGCAAATTTAAAATAAATAAAAAATTTGTTTTACTTACTTGTTGAACCCCAATTAGGATGTGCAACATTATTAAACCAACCATCATATCGTTGCTTTTCAGCCTTATATCCCGGATCTAAACAATAAAAAACCCATGATAAATTAATACCTTTTGAACAAAATCCCCTGAATTCATTAAACTTTACAACGTAATAATCAATCATTATAGCCGAACAAACCGGTACGAAAATTTCTAGAGCAAACGACTCAAAAAAAAATCTAAATCTTGTAATTTGCACATTTCCAAGGTGTACGACTAAGACCCAAATAACGAAAAAATCTGGTTAATTTTTTTTTATCTTAATCTATAAGAACTGACGAAATTATCGTTTAAAAGAATCGAGAATTACCAGTTTACTAAAGTATTCCGGATATGTTACAATGGAAAGTCGATAATCGTTCTAAACCCGTATATAACAAGAATGTTGTAATTGTTAAGTTAAATGTGGTAAGCTCGGATTGAATTTCTTTATTTAAAACGAAAAAAGTGTCATCAACAAATTGAGATTACGTGTTATGTTTAGGAGAATTAACTCATAAATTGATAATAAAAAGGAAAAAAACGTGAGCTTCGTATTACGTGATGTGGTCATTCATATTGAGATTATCGCAGCACACGGAAATTTGGGTCAATGCTGTTTCTCTGGTTCGCGTTCAACAGTTGCAGTCGCGATCCACAAGAATACCAAGAAAGTTTTTTTTTCGGGTCACATAAAATTAATCATTTTTTTAAAATTTATATAGCTACAATTATTATTATGAGATAAATTAATTAAAATTAATTTTTTAACACCTACCGGAAGAAACTTTTGAGAGAAGGAAAAATTCGCAAAGAATCGCTAAAAAGAGAAATCTTCGATAACAACTTTGTATTGATAAATCCATGATGAAAAAGAACTTTAATTGTTTTAATCTTATTCTTTCATATTTAATAATTAAAGACCCGGTTCGCGAAATTTTTTAATTTTAAAACTTCTAATTTATAAAGCACATGTTTTCGCCCGCATTTCCGAGATGATCATACGAAGAACTTCATTATACGCGGGACCCGATTGGTAGTATACTGAACGATCCGACTGAAGGAAAAACTATATACTCCTCGAAGAGAAAGTGTAGGCAGAACTCGATTTTGCCGCGAAGGAACGTGCCGAGTCGAAATACGAGCGCGTTTCCTCTCCGTCCCCACCATTTTTAACAGTCTCTTTTGAAAGAAATGCGTTGAACCCCGCCGGTTTTAAATCATCGTCGTCGTTGAGCATATCAAGTACTTCTTGGAACAGAAACGATGTGTCATATATTTTATTATCAACGTTTTTAGTTTTGTGAAAAATCCTGTTTGACGTTTAAAAAGGATCTCCGAGTAAATTAATCCAAAAAAGGAAACAGAAGTGTAAAAATTTTATTTTTATGAAAACAATTCGTAGAAGAAATAGTGGTAATTTGGAAAATATTCGAAGAATTTATCTAAATATGACTACAAAAGATTTCATTACTAATCAATCAATCAATCCCAATAATTTATTCAAGGAACGTTTCTTTGAGTTTTTTTCTTTAACATGTTAATGGATTGCAACAACTATTTAATTAAGAGATTTGCTCTTTTCTGGAAGGCCCAAATGTTGTAGTTTACAGATGGATTTAACAATCGAGTTAACAGTCAGCTTCCTGCTACAATTTCCAAAAGTGTCAATCCGGATGAGAATAGAGACAGAGTCAAATTTCGAACGATTTCGATTCTTCAGATGTGATGGTCAGATATGAATACGTCATATAAGAACTCCTAAAGATCTCTAAAGCGATCGCCTTTATCTCAAATTTTCACTGTAAAGTATTATGGGGGAATTTGTTAGATTAGGTTTGCAAAATAATCTCCTTCGTTGCATTCAAGAAATCATGGATCAACACATATACATAGACTAGGTAATAACTTTGTAAACGTTATGGAATGGCCCAGTTAAGTGAGATGAACTCAGACACACATGAATCTTAATTTTACCTTTTATTGCCTTTCTGTTTTCCTTTCATTGCTACAACAGCTAATTGAATTGAGTACTCATAGATTCACAATGTTGAAGAAGAGTAAAGCATAGAACTATGTCCAGAAGTTTTATTGTTGGTACAAGTGCATGGACAACACGCGATTAATCCACAATTTGTTGTCTCGTTGGGTTGGGTCAACTTCTCCCTTAATGCATTCATTATACTCTATATATAATTATTTTTATATTATTTCCAATAACTCGTAAAACATAGTCATAACTATTAATGTAAAAGTAATTAATCTCTAAAAGATTGTATCTCAAAAAATTGGTTGAGATATCATCATGAACAAAACATTGAAGTCAACTCTGCAAAACCTCAATCGTAGATGTTAAGCTGAAATGATTCAATCTTTAAAATATCGTATCTCAAAAATCAATTAAGATATTGTCATGAAATAAAAAGCAATATGAAGTAAATTTATTTAGTATTTAGTACATTGAAGATCATTTTTTCAAATCTTCAAATTTAGGAGCTATGATTTTTTGAATTTAACTCTGCATAACCATAATCATTGATGTTAGGGTAAAACTACTTAATCTTTAGAATGTCATATCTCAAAAATGAATTAAGATATTAACCCGAAACAAAAAACGATTTGAAGTAAATTTACTTAGTATGTAGTATATTGAAGATCATTTTTTCAAATCTTCAAATTTAGGAGCTATGATTTTTTGAATTTATCTCTGCATAACCATAATCACAAATATTAGGATAACAGTATTTAATCTTTAAAAACTCGTATCTCAAAAACCAATTAAGATATTATCATGAAATAAAAAGCAGTTTGAAGTAAATTTATTTAGTATTTAGTACATTGAAGATAATTTTTTCAAATCTTCAAATTTAGGAACTATGATCTTTTGAATTTAACTCTTCATAACGATAATCATTGATGTTAGGGTAAAAGTACTTAATCTTTAAACTGTCATATCTCAAAAACGAATTAAGATATTATCATGAAACAAAAAGCAATTTGAAGTAAATTTATTTAGTATTTAGCACATTGAAGATAATTTTTTCAAATCTTCAAATTTAAGAGCTATAACTTTTTGAATTTAACTCTGCATAACCATAATCACAGATGTTAAGGTAAAAGTACTTAATCTTTAAAATGTCATATCTCAAAAACAAATTAAGATATTATCATGAAACAAAAAGCGATTTGAAGTAACTTTATTTAGTATTTAGTACATTGAATATCATTTTTTCAAATCTTCAAATTTAGGAGCTATGATTTTTTGAATTTAACTCTGCATAACCATAATCACAGATGTTAGGGTAAAAGTACTTAATCTTCAAAATGTCATATCTCAAAAACGAATTAAGATATTATCATGAAACAAAAAACGATTTGAAGGAAATTTATTTAGTATTTAGTACATTGAAGATCATTTTTTCAAAACTTCAAATTTAAGAGCTGTAATTTTTTGAATTTAGCTCTGCATAACCATAATCATTGATGTTAGGGTAAAAGTACTTAACCTTTAAAATGTCGTATCTCAAAAACCAATTAAGATATTATCATGAAATAAAAAGCAATTTGAAGCAAATTTATTTAGTATTTAGTACTTTGAAAATCATTTCTTCAAATTTTCAAATTTAGGAGCTATGATTTTTTGAATTTAACTCTGCATAGCCATAATCACAGATGTTAGGGTAAAAGTACTTAATATTTAAAATGTTATATCTCAAAAACGAATTAAGGTATTATCACAAAATGAAAAGCAATTTGAAGTAAATTTATTTAGTATTTAGTACATTGAAGATAATTTTTTCAAATCTTCAAATTTAGGAGCTATACTTTTTTGAATTTAACTCTTCATATCCATAATCACTGATGTTAGGCTAAAAGTAGTTAATCTTTAAAATATCATATCTCAAAAACCAATTCAGATATTATCATGAAATAAAAAGCAATTTTAAGCAAATTGATTCAGTATTTAGTACTTTGAAAATCATTTCTTCAAATTTTCAAATTTAGGAGCTAGAATTTTTTGGATTTAACTGCATAATTATAATCATAAATCTTAAAGTAACAGTATTTAATGGAAATTAGATGGATAAAGCAGATATAATTCCGTTTAATAATAAATTCTCTCGTATGATTATGAACATTATTCAACGACATCCACAATATAAGTGACAGGTACAGAAGCATACAGTAATTTTTTAACGAAGTTTTGCAAAATTTGGTAATCATAAAATTGATCCTCAAACTGCTACACCATAAGCAGCAGCAGACTAAAAGCTCGAAATATAAGCTGCACTTCCAACCACAAGTTCAGCACAACTCCACAGTCTGCGCACTAGATAAGAAAACTCGCGAGACGTTTACATAGTTGATAAGTACATTAGATTCATTTATTTTCAATTTAGCATTGTATCAAAATGCAGAATTGTATCACAATTTGAAGTTATCGTTGTTTAGCTTTGTATTCATTCGATCACCATATCCAGAATTTCAGTTCAAACAGGAAGTAACACCATTGACATAATATGGCAAGTTGTTGGGCCAAAAAAAAACTCTCCAATAGGTTAAAGTTGGAAAACTGGAACACAATCCAATCTATTTACAACACAATGGATGTTAACCAGAAATTAGGGAGAAGGTAAACCGCCTTGCAAGGATAAGTCAATATGGTGGAAGAAATGAAAGGAAGAGTTTTATAAAGTAAAGGAAAGGCATAGGGAGTAATTAAGATGGTTAAATAAACAGATTAAGGAGTTAACGGAAATTCAGAGATGATAACAAAGGAAAACAATGTTTTGTGAAGACTGTGATGATGTAGGAGGTAGAGTTATGGGCTTGGAAGGAACAGGAAAAAATATATATTAGCAACGTCATTATGAGATGCTCCCACTTGCTGCATTGTGTGGTATGTATAACGTTCTCATTCAACATTGATTTACTTAAAACTATTAATAGCGATTATACAACCTATTTAACACAATGGTCAAACGTGTTATATATTTTATAAGTTTTATTTTCGGTCCCTTTATTTGGTAATAAACCACTTTACTTTATAATATACTTTAAAGTGACTCTTTAAAGCATTGTGCAGGACAGTTCCCATTTTCAAAGTCTAAATAAATAAGTATGCTCGCGCGTCTGGCTACCAATTAGACATTAGAAGCCAAAGAACACAAAAAACAACATTTACCGTCATCGGAATTCAAGCAATTATTTATTTTCTTTTAAATAAAAAAAATAATAAAACCAAATAAATTACAAAACTATTATTTATTAGAAACTATCCAGTATCCTTAAATTAAATAATCACAATTAAAATACGTTCTTCATTAATATAATGAACTAATTTGATTTAAAAAGAATTAAGCAATAGGAACAAAGGTAAGTTGCGCATTTGCGTGTGCAAACAATAAATTAATTTGCGAATCCAAAGCGACATTATCAATTTTTTCCAATTTCGCAACTCGATCTTCTCCAGATTTCCTTAAAATAGCTAACCCATAAACCTTCATCAAGCTCTCATCGACAGATCCGCTATTTTTAATGTCAAGTTTCACGTGGCACAACAAATTAACGTGTACGTGCTTAACAAACACGGTTTTACCGTTTTCTACTAATATCCTATTAGTTTCATGTTCTAATTGAGGCAAATCGGAACGAAAAACTCGAGCTTCACCGATAATTCGTTCATTACAAATAATATTAAATCTGGTTTGATCGTAAACCGCTCTTGTTTCAAAAGCGTAACCTTCAAGATTATTATCGGACCAAAAGAAGTTATCGTTTTCTAATTTTGAATTTGATTCAAACGTGAATCTTTTAGCGTATCCTTGGCCGATGCTTGTTAATTTTAATGGTTGTCCATTAAATAGAGTGCGTTTTGAATTGATTGGGCGCACTTTGTAAACGAATCCTGGTAAAATTCTTGGATCTACGTAAGTGCCAACAGCAGGAAGTTCATGTTGTTCGATTCCTTTGATTGTGTATTTAGTTGGAACATCGTTAATTTCACTTCCATTAACTTTAATCCATCTTGAATTCTTCTTAACACCGGGAATTAAGTAGTAGCGATGATTTTTGATGTTTACGTTTAATACTTTGGTAACTTTAGCGCATTTTTCGTTGAATTTTTTAGCGTAAACAGCAACTCCGGTTATTGGTAAGCTTTGTGAGATATCATCATATAATTCAACAGTAACCGTCATTTTTACTTTGACTTTTTTCTCGATGCCTTTTTTGTTGATGCCACCATCAATTTCTAATTGCTTCTCATTTACATTCGTAACCTCTAAGAATCCTTGCGGTTCATGATTCGCATCGTAAATTGTAAATTTATCCCCAACTGAGACCGCTTTTAATTCAAAAGCGTATCCTCCGGGATTGTTATCGCTCCAAAAACAACGTTCTTTTAAGTTTGGGATGATACCATCTTCAAAGGTGAATCTCCTGGCGTATCCGCGACCGATCGATTTTAAAGTTAAAGCTTTTCCATTGAATAGTGGTTTGGTTTTTTGGGTGTTATTGCATAGTGGAAGTACGCTATATTTAAATCCGGGAAGAATTCTTTGGTCGACGTAAACACCAGCAACAGGGAACTGGTGTTGAGCCAAGTGTTGTATGACGTATTTTGCTGGTATGTCACCTAACTTGGAAGCATCTAAGATTGTTGTTACTTCGTTCTAAAAAAAATAAAAAAAATATTTGTAATGGAAACTTTTTACGTAAAAGAATTTCTTAAGATTATTGATGAGATTGGATTGAATTGGTTCATTAGATTTCCAGAAATATTTCGTGATTATTGTGATATTTTTAATTTTGGTGCACATCCAAAATATTTGCAATGTTAAGGTAGAATGCGCAATTAAAGCAGTGCCAAAGAATAAGGTAATTTAAACCTCTTTTTAGATCTAAATACCCCACCACGATTTAAATTAGGAAATGTTAGGTTGCAGAAAATATAAAAATATACTGTTATATTAAGAATCTTTCTTTTTTAACTTTTTATTAGGTTTGGAAGCAAATTGAGGGATAGAAACAATTACCACACTCACAAATCACCAATTAGTCTCACTGAATACAGTTCAGGTGTCAATACAAGAACATTAATAAAATAAATTCTTTGTCAAAATCAACTAGTAATGTTAGTAACAATCTTTATACGAGTAAATTCATTTCTGACGGATTTGAATTTCTCACAAATTCAAAAATAAGATAAAAATGCTTGAAAAATGCAACTGAATTGCTTGATAACTTAAGTGAAGTACAATTAGTTAGTGGAAGGAAGTGGCGATTTTAGATTTTAGTGTCTAATTGTTACCAGAAGATACCTTTCAACAACCTATTCTTGTGTTAAGCCAAATTCAATACTGAGGTTCATGATATATTCGTTAGCATCTATCTTTAAGTTTTTTAATTCTTAACCAGCGGAATATTTAGGGATTATTATGGCAAAAGTGATAACAGAAACGATTATTGTATGTTTCACTCTTGTTTATCTTTATATGTTATGCCATAAATTAGTATATTGTTTCTGGCTCTGGCTACCACATTTTTCAACATTTCTAGACGCAGTTTTGATGCAAACCCCACAAGGATATGATGTAGACATGATTAAGATTGTTTTTCAACTTAATAGAAACACGTTGAAGATTTGATGCATAGATGATTTGAATTTTGTACGGAGCTATCTCGAAGAAGACTTAATGAAGTCTTGATGGAGGAATAATATAAATTTAAAGATTTTATGGAGAATTAATGCATCTATGAAGTCAGGAGACATAGTGTTGATTTCATGCAGACTTCAAAGTCTTAATGCTAATTTAATAAGAACTGTATAGAGATTTAAGAATCCTTGAAAGAGTTTTATTGCACGTAGGGATATGATAAAGACTTGAAATTGCACAGATTTGACTTGGCAGAAATATGATGAGGACTAGATGCAGATATGATTAAGATGAAAACTTGATGCAACCCTAATAAGATTTTATGCAATTTTGCGGAGTGCTGATACATTGCTAGATACAATTTGGTACCCACCAAACAAGGATATGATACAAACTACTCTATTTGAACTTAATGTTGAAAGCTTAATGCAGAGATGATGTAGATTTAATACGAAATATTAATACTTTTATTAGGCCAGGAGACTTAACAGAGATTTAACGCAGAATTTAAAGATTTAATGCATAGATTAATGATGATTTTAAATAGAGCTGTTTCAATGAAGAGTTGATCCAGGAATTGTAAAGATTTATAGTGGAATTGATGTAAATCAATTCTTAATCCTTGAAAGAATTTTGTTGTCTTGATGAAGACTTGACTCTATGCAGATTTAACTTGATAGAAATATGATAAGAAGTAAATGCAGAGATGATGTTTACTTTGTATGGAGCTGTTTCATGATAGAGATTTAAAGTAGACTTGATGGAATATTATATTAAGTCTAGAGGCGTAATACAAATTTGAAACAGTGTAAAGACTTGATGCCGAGATAATATAGATTTTACAAAGAGTTGTCTAGATGCAAACTTAATGAAAACTCTATGCAGGTATGATAAATATTTAAAATAGACTTGGTGGAGGTTTAATTCATCAATTGAGTCAGGAGGCATCATGTAGATTTGATACAGACTTAAAAGACATATAATATGGAGGTTTCATGAAAGCTTGAAGGAGTCTTGTAGCACTGCCCAGTCTTGACGAAGACATGACACTGTACACTTTTGAGTTGATAGCAACATGGTGAGGACTAGATGCTGAGAAGATGTACAGTTCAATGCAGACTTGAAGCAGGCATGATAGAGCTTTATACAAGACTTGTGGAAGAAGAAGTGTATGGAAATTTTATGTAATCTTGAACCAGTAAAAGAAATCTAACTGTTAGTTCCCTTAAAAATGTAAATCCTGTAATATTTCACTTTTTACTCAATGATTTTAAATTGTTCATTCAATGTAAATGTTTTGTTGAATCTTTTCTGACATATTTGGTCGGCTAGATCTCCAATGCTCTCGCACATACTCTTGAATGTTAAGTTTGACAACCAAATTACATCTAAAGTCTCCTAACACAGTATTAAGTAAATAAGGAATAAGACTATCAGAGATAAACCAGCTAGTTATTTTTTAGAATTTGAGTTTGATTACTGCCATTTATCATAACAGCAAGAGGCAGTATATCCAAAAGCAGAGAAACGTTCAAAAAGGTTCATCTCAACATTGCAGAAGATTTTAGTTCTTACAACAAGAAATACAAAGACTTCTTTAAACGCTGCTTAAAGAATGCCTAAATAATACACTATTAAGGAATATTAATAGAAAGTAAGCGTTAAAATAACATATATATAAGAAGTTGAAAATATGAATAGTTTTTGGCAGTTAAATTTAGATGCTTTCGCAACGGTTTTCTCAAATTCTTGACGCCACTGTTGTTTACCTGTTATTAAATCATCAATGAAGAAAATAATTTTATATCCAACAAATTGTCCCAACTAAGCGAAAATTGTTCCAATTCCAATTAATAAAATCATAAATTAGTTTTTTAGTTGCCTTTTTTAAATGATTTGAAAATTATACAAGTATAATTATCCGATAAGAATTGCAATTTTGTACCTTTGAACACCCCAATCACTACGCAACATAAATATTGACTTATTTTCCACTTAAAGCACCTTATCTAATAATTGCATTCTATGATCGATTACATCAAAAGAGAGGCGTGTGCTGTTAATCAACTAAAATCGATAACGAAATAAATATGAAAACCTCATTATCTTTCTAACAATAGCCTGATTTTTAAATTTATCAAGGGGGAGTGTCAAATTCAAAATTAAAGTACAATCTAAATTAATTCCTGTTGAATAAAAATTAAAAAATTACCTCGTTTACGCATTCTTCAAAATCAGGGGCTTCCAATTCTTCTAATTGGTTCAGTATCGGGGGAAACTCGCTGGTTTTTTCAGCATAATTATTAACTGATAAATCAAAAGAATTATGGACCGATTTTTCCGGGAAAAGTTCAGGTTCCTCTTCGTGTCCAAGCAAAGAAAACGTTGAAGAAGATCTTCTCCCTTGATGCCAAGATCTTCGCATGTTAAGCAATCGAATTTCTTCTTCAGGTGAATACATTTTAATTTTTTTTTTTTAGCTCTTCTTATCCAAATAAAAATAATCAAACAATTTTTTTGTTTTTAGTTGTTTTTTTTTTTGTAATAATAGTTGATTTTAAATAGCAAACTACGTTATTCGTGTTACTATCGCTGAAACTGTTTGTGATTTCGACCGTTTCAGTCGTTCCTTATATACGTTTCGAAATGATGGAAATGCGCGACTTTTGGCACCGAGATTCCGTGACGTTCAAAGTGACACGATGTGAAGTCGTGCGGAAATTCTTGGCCAAAAAACTCGTATTATCAAATTGTTTGTGTTTTAAATAATCAAAATATTTAGCTGTAAGAAAACAAATAAAATAAAATGCATTTAAAATAAATTATTACACATAAGTGTTTTCTCATTATACAATAAACATTAAATTCACATTAATGTTAAGTAACATTTTTTATAATTAAAACAGGTAATTTTTAGTTACACAATTTTCTAAGTAATATTTACCATTTTTACAAGCTTAAGTAATTGGTTTTGGAAAAACAAGAGAAATTTCAAAAAATAATAAAAATTCAGGTATTTAAATTAATTAAGGAAAAGAATATATCGATAATTTCGCAATTGAAGGAATTTTTTATCTCGAATTTGTGAGTTATGACGTTTATCAATAAGTACTCTTCCACGAGCAAATATTTTTGTGATTCTCTTGGAAAAATAACATCCCCTGGCCCCCAGCAACACATTCTTCGCCTAGATAAGAAAAAATACATCCAACATACGTCATTCGAACGAAAATATAGAAATTATAGAACAAACAAATGGGATTAGTAATCATAAAAACTTGACCCTAAAAGTTAATACATTTCGAAATTAGTTTTTATTGAAATGATTAATTGACGTCGAAGTCAAAATTGACTTTTTTGCAAAAATCATTTGATTTATTGCAAAATTTCGTCAATGTAATTTATTTTTTAATTCATACAAAAATGTATCCTATTTACGATCAAATTATCAAAATAATAACAATTATGTTTATAACATTTGTTATTTCATCTTTAAACCAGTTTCTTCCAGCTTCTGAACGATGTCCAACCCGATTTTTTACTAATCTCCCGATTGTTTAAATATTAAACTGGTTATTTCCAGAAATTGATGAATCAAATCAACATTTAGACGCGCGCGCGCCGTATTTATCGTTTCAAGACTACTTTTTCACCTATTTTTTATATACAAATCGATTTATCAGTAAATATTCCGGGTTAAAGTGCGCCCATTTTTTATTAACGCACATTTTACGCCTTCGCTTTTAATCCTATTATTTACAACGTAGTAATATTCGTTATTGACCTTCAGACGGTTTTATCAAAATCTTTTTCGTTTTTTCTGGATGAATTATCGCCTCTTAGGTTGAACAATTTTAAATCGGAAATGATAAAAAAATATTTTCCGAAGAAGTAATTTGATTTGATTAATCATTCATGAATTCATTATAAATTGTAATTAAGTAGAACGCGATTTGTTACCTCTTTTTACATTTCTTTTATTGTGGTCTACGTAGTCTTATGTAATTTTGATTATCTTATCTTCACGATCATCGTGTAATTATTAAATTAATAAATAAAATTTAAGTATTACACATGTAGTTAAGTGTACTTCAATATTTTATAATAGACTAAAATTATCTGTATATTATATTGTTATATAACTAATTTAAACGCAACTAAATCTAGCTCTATGTTAAGGTTATTTTTAAAGATCATGGATGTCAAGAAAAAGAAGAACATCATGTGAGAACAAACTTCAAGAATTTAGAGTGTGCAAAGAATAAGTCGATGTTAATTGAGCTTTCATTACGCTGCTATAATGTTTGGTAAATCTTAAATAAGTATATTTGATTGGACCTCGTGGATTTGGAAGTAAAATGATAAAAATGTATATACAAAAGCAGTTACATCGTTGATAAAGAGCTATAACCAAGCCAGCCAAGAATTAATGGCGCTGTGATGAACAAGAAATATTATTACAACAGAAATTTTTGATGTACAACCTCAATATACACAAACAATGTAATTTTGTGGATGTTGACGATCTTTCACCATATTTTAGAAAAACTAAACGAATATATGCAGAAAGAACATCTATACTTTATATTTCAAGAATTATACAACCAGAGAAGCAAGTATTAAAGCTGAAATCTACTATGGCTATATAAGTACGAAAAAACTTGGAGGTCTTTGAAAAAGAAAGGTTAAGAAACAGTCCGTGGAAACCAAAACTATGACTTCGTTACGTGGATTATACCTTTGCGATCTGGCAGCATATAGAGGTGTCTTCAGGAGTCCTGGACTACTTAAACTCTCAACACATCATGATTAAATTTACCATGGAAACGGAAGCTGCAAAATAGTTATCTTTGCTGGATGTGTTGGACGTTCCTGGACCACAATAGAAGAGGTCAGTAATCCAAGCCTTGTTCCTTGAGTAGACGCGACGGAAACAATTTAAAGAAAGTATTTGAAGGGATTCTGAAAGATATGTTCCAGAGGATCGACTACGCTCTAAGAGATATCTAGCGAGCATCCAAATGACGCAAACAGAAAAAAGACACGAGAAGTATTGTACCAGACAGAGTTATTTGCCTTCCTTACGTTTTAGGTGAGACGAAGCAGATTGCTAGGCGTCTAAAGAAGAACAATATCGTGGTATTGATACAGTACGTTCAACAAAATACGGAACGTTCTTCCGATGGCTAACAGCATACCAACTCCATTAAAGGGAGATAGCCGATAGACTCCTTTATCGGCTATCATGCGGTTGTGGGAAGTACTAGATAGACCAAACTGGATGCAACATCGAGTACTGCATAAAAAAAGCATGAAAGAGATGTCCGACTGAATAAAATCCAGTAATCGGCAGTCGCAGAGCATTGCCACATAAAGGGCCACACTATAGATTTTGATAGGACCAAGGTACTAGCTAGAGCTGGAAATTGCTATCAAAGGATAACGAGAGATGTCTTAGAGATCCATTGGCATGCGAACAAGATGAATAGAGAAGACGACTAGAAACTTGGCCGCACATGGAAAATGGTAGTTAACGCAACGAAGTCTTCTCCCCCAGATTTTACAAAAACAACTTAGTTGATAATTAGTATTTAGTCAAAATTGATTATTATTAATATGTTTCTTCGTGCATATTGTTAAATTTCCGCACTGCTAAACCCGAAAGTTTCTAGTTCTAGGTATAGTGTTAGTTCTAGCACATCGAAAACAGTCTCTTATCACTGAAAAGCTGAAAATAAAACCATTAAAATACTCAAATCTAATTTAACTTTTGCAGTTTGTCCTCAGCTTCTGTAATTAACTCGATTAATTTTCTTCTGATTATGTAATCATTTTCGGAATGTAGATGTCGATGGAGTATTGATATTTTAAACTTCTTTGGTAAAAAAAAGTTTGCAATTGTGTGCTAAACTACTTATTTTTGTAGCTCATGCTGTTTATCTATTTCTTTGTCTTATTGCGTATTTAACTGAAAGTGCTAAAAAGGAGCCTTGCGCAAGTTTCTAATCCTGACTACACCTGGTGAGGATGAACAAAGAACCTGTTAGGAGCTAAATGCAGAATTAACGTTATTTTAAATCAGATTCCTGGAAATATTGCAAAATATATTTTGCCATTTCAAAGTTTTTCCTATTATCCATTTTTTACTTTTGAACTCTTTTATCTCACTATGCGATTTACGTCCGCGTAGCTGGGATCAGCTTCGAGGAACATTTGAACCATAAAGTTGGATTATCGTGGTTAAGTTAGGTTGAAATGGCTTTGCTGTGATAACAAACACAGGTAACATTACCTTTGGAGCTAAAAGTAGGTTAATTCTGATTATCCTCTGGTGGTAGTGGCTGCTCCTGTCAAATATTTTTATGTTTAAAATCTTCTTTATGGCATCGTTCCGCGTGGTAATATTCTACGATTGCAAACTGCTATGTTTTTCCTAGTCCGACGTGCCTTTCCTGTTCTTTTATGCGACATCAAAATTCAAAGTTTTTTTCCAATTTACTGTACTTGTACGACAGTCTGTAGACTCCTAACGAGACGTCGTCTTCTTTTCCTCACGGAACGATGCCATAAAGTAGATGTCAAAAACAAAAATACTTGACAGGAGCAGCAACTACCACTAGAGGGGCCACAAAAATTTATCGTCATAAGAACAACACTAATAGAGATAGTGGTTCGCACGAGACCAACGAGACGAGATTTTCATAAACTCTTGTCTCGTCTCGCCGACGAATAAGTCTTGTATCAAGTCTCGTCTCGCAATCTCCACTCTCGTCTCGTCTCGTTTCTCGTACGAGAGTCTCATAAAAGTATCGAAATCCCGTCATGCATAATCTTATTGTTTCAATGCAATAAGGAATACTTAAATACTTGCTATAATGTAAGAGTCGGAAGAGAGAATTACAGCCCTCAGGCATAACAAACATCGTGCAGATTTATTATTACGGCGATTTCGATGTTTTCTTATATGCAGCACGTGAGAATAATCTTTACGCCGGGACTGAAGTTAACTTAAAATAGGAATTTCAGAAGCATAAATTTTCCACCATTGTAATATATCTGCGTCTTTATTATCTTCTCGTTGCTCCAATGCCGTTACTTTCGAACGTTGGCCTTCTGATTGATGGAAATAGGCTAGATGTATACAAACATCTTCAAATTTCTGATTCGCAGACTCTTTTAATTCTTGGCTCCACCTTGTCATATCAAAAATTTCTATCTTAAGCCGCGAATCGAGAATTAAAACTGCATAAATCTAATTAATTTTACGATAATGCTTTAATATTTTGTCTCCCGCAGCCTGAAAAGTAACAATAAGCTGCTCTTCGACAGCGTTTCGATCTGCCTTTCGGTCCCATGCAAATATTTTGCTCTCAATATTATCTATTAGTATATTGATACATACAACCACCATAGGTAATTTGACGTACTTCTCTCCTCCGAGTTTCTTGGAAAGTATTTGAAAGTTGACTAGTAATTTATGCACTTCTTCTAGCAGTATCCATTCTTTGTCATTAAGAGCATATGGTCCATGTTCATCTACAAGAGGTACTTTCAACATATCATTACTGGAATTCCAGGGTGTAGATACTAAAATATTTACAGAAATATTGCAGATATTTGCAGAAATACTTACCTGCCAGACTCTCGTACGAGACGCAAGACCTCATGCACGAACTCGAGACGAGACCAATGAAAGTCTCGTCTTGCCTTGTTCTGTAATGTTACTGTTGAGAAACCTATTCCATTTTGAAAATCTATATTTAAGAATCCATGAAAATGAAGCTATGATATGCCATGGAAGAACTAAGCATACCGACAAAATTAATCTCACAAAAGCCTGTCTAGGGGGATCTACAAGTGCAATAAGACTTGAAGTAAAACTGTCGACCTTCTTTCCACTTCTATTTAACATCGTGTTGGAAAGTGTCGTGCGGAAGACAAACACAGAAATGATCCTCTTTAAAAATCAAAGTTCTAGAATTATATTGAGTTTCGCTGATTACATAGATAGATAGTGGAAAATACAACTATCGATGTTAAGGAAGAGTTCATTGAACTGGAAATTGCTGCAAGGGAAGTTAAATTACGAATCAATGAATATAAAACAAAATATATGATCAACAAGAACAGAACGACGAGATAGATTAGGACAGAACGTGATAATGGACTATTACAATTTTCAAACAGTTCATTCGTTTAAATATTTGAGAGCTACAATCTCCTCTGACAACAACATAACAAAAGAGATTGATAACAGAATAAAAAGAAGAAATCGTTGCTGGTTTTCCAGATATAGTAAAGTAATAAAGTCAAAAAGATTGAAATGGACCGCCAAGGTTAGGAGACAAGTCAAACGTGTTGTCAAGTTGGTATGGAAAAAGTCCCCAGTAAGAAAGATAAATATATATAAAAACACTTCTAGTCAACAATAGAATATCCCATATCTATATATAATTTCAAAATCTTTTTTTAAAAACGTGTATCTCTAGCTGACTCAGAAAAATCATTTATTTTCAATTAAAAATCAGTTATTGATTTTCCTTGAAACAGCCTTATTTGAATCATATTGCATAATGTAAAAAAAAACTATTTTATGTTTCATTCTATAAACACAATGCAATCATAAAATTATTTCTAATCATACATCATTGTATTTTAACATGAATTTCGTGCAGAGGGGATCGTTAAATCAACTTTATTTAGCAGACCTTGATAGAGCGTTTAGCTTAACGAATTGCTTACGCTCTCAGAATACTGTTTATTTACGATACGAAGTATTTTACTAGAACGAGCACGTGAAAAGATCGTGAACAAATTCCGGCCACGTGTTTGATCTAGAATAAAAAAGAATTCTGGTTATTCCCTTTTTTTAGAGATTATCATTTTTGAATAATAAAGAATATTTTAGAAATAATTATTATTAATTTTTTTAATAATTAACTCAACATATTTAAAAAAATAAAAATTGAGTTGATGTGAAAGCTACAAAAGCTAAACACAGCTGCGTTGAATTTGAGTGTCTAAATGCGCCCCTCTCATGTCTGACAAGGTAAGACAAAGTATATAAACGTAGGAACTTGTGCCACATCCAGCCAGTTTACCACTAACTACCTAGTGGGTGTGGTGCGTTCGTTTAGTGTGCTATTTATCGTTTGAAAAATCATCACTTTTCTTTAAAAAAGATCACCTTCATTATCTTCATTTCGTTTTAGAATATCTCTTCAAAGTAAATCAACAGTTTTCATTCAATATTTTTTATTTTAAATAATTTTTGAAAAAAAAGGTAATTATTTTAATTGTTATTAAACTAAATCATTTTCTTAAATTTGATTCATTAAATGAAATTGAACAAAAAATTAAGTAAATTTTGAGATTATATTTAGATAAAGTGTAAGATTTTGAGATTTAATACAAGATTTCTTACGTAAATACAAAATGGCCGAAACTGAAACGTGGGTTTAAATATAGATTTTCACGACCTAAAAATAGATTCAAGTATCATTACGAAATTTTCAAGCCGTTGTTTATTCCACTTTAATCTGGGATTTATTTCTAATTTTAGCTTGTTTAAAAGATGTTTGCTGCTATCATCGAAGAAGAAATGAAATTGGACGCGATGCAACGCGTATGGCAGACAAACTTCCGGTCGCCCGGCGCCCTCGTTTTCGAGGAAGCCCAAGAAATCACTCCCTTTGTAAATGAGTCACCTCAGGTAAAATATTTACTATTTTTATCTCCACAGTATTTTTCCACTTGTAATTTTATATGGAAGTCATTGATAAAAAAATTAAAAGTAAACGATTTTATCTTATCATTTATTAAAAACGTAATTTTATTAGATAGTTTTTATATTATTATATTATATTATTTTATATTATAATTTAGTTGTTAGCATTAAAAAATACAAAGTTTTAGTTTTATTGCATTCTGGTGAAAGTAGGAAGTTAAAACTAAAATATAAATACACTAAAACGTCTATATAACAGACTAATACGGGGAAAGGAATGTCCTTCTCTGCATTAGAGAGTTTTAGTTCAACGAAAAATATACAACAATTTAACGCTGAATAACAACTAAAACAGAAAAATCCGTTCTAGTATGTAAAATTTTTAGGATTTGGTTATTTAGTGTAATTTGAAATATACAAAATAGAGCAAATAGCAAATAGAAATTTGATATCTTTTAAATTAATTGAGATATTTTGATGATAGATATCTCAAAAAGAAAGCCGAATTAATTAGAATTTCGTCATCACACGGAAAAATCGGTTTCATTATCTAGAATTTTTAGGATTTGGTTACTTAGCATAGCTTGAAATCTATAAAATGAAGATGTAAATCATTTTTTGGCTAACTTCTGTGTTAATTGAGATATTTTGATGAATGATATCTCAAAAGAAAGCTAAATTAATCCAAGTTTCAAAATCATACAGAAAATCGAGTTTTAGTATTTAAAATTTTTAGGATTTGTTATTTAGCATAGCTTGAAATCGACAAAATAGAGATTTAAATTATTTTTTGGCTAACTTCTGTGTTAAATGAGATATTTTGATGAATGATATCTCAAAAGAAAGCCGAATTAATCAAAATTTCAGAATCGTACAGAAAATCCCGTTTCAGTATCTAGAATTTTTAGGATTTAGTTACTTAGCATACCTTGAAATCTACAAAATAGAGATATAAATCATTTTTTGTATAACTTCTGTCTTAACTGAGATATTTTGATGACTGATATCTCAAAAGAAAGCCCAATTAATCAAAATTTCAGAATCACACAGAAAATCCCGTTTCAGTATCTAGAATTTTTAGGATTTGGTTACTTAGCATAGCTTGAAATCGACAAAATGGAGATTTGAATTATTTTTTGCCTAACTTCTGACTTAATTGAGATATTTTGATGAATGATATCTCAAAAGGCAGCCCAGTTAATCAAAATTTCAGAATTGTACAGAAAATCTCGTTTGAGCATCTAAAATGTTTAGGATTTGGTTACTTAGCATAGCTTAAAATCTACAAAATAGAGATGTTAATTTTTTAGATAACTTTTGTGTTAATTGAGATATTTTGATGATTGATATCTCAAAAGAAAGCCCAATTAAACAAAATTTCAGAATTACACAGAAAATCCCGTTTCAGTATCTGGACTTTTTAGGATTAAATTACTTAGCATACCTTGAAATCTACAAAATAGAGATATAAATCATTTTTTGTATAACTTATATGATATTTTGATACATGATATCTCAAAGGAAAGCCCAAATAATCAAAATTTCAGAATCATACAGAAAATCCCGTTTTAGTATCTAGAATTTTTAGGATTTGGTTACTTAGCATAGCTTGAAATCTACAAAATAGAGATATAAATCTTTTTTTGGATAACTTTTGTGTTAATTGAGATATTTTGATGACGGATATCTCAAAAGAAAGCCCAATTAATCGTGATCATACAGTAAAATCCGTTTCAGTATTTAGAATTTTTGCGATTTGGCTACTTGGCATAGTTAGAAATGTATAAAATAGAGATACAAACCACCTTGTCGATAACTTCTAAGTAAATTGAGATATTTTGACGACTAATATCTCAAAAGAAAGCGCAATTAATTACAATATCGTGGTCCTATAGATAAATATGTTTCATTGTCAAGAATTTTTAAAATTTGTTACTTAGTACACTTAGAAATGTACAAAATAAAGATGCAAATCTTCTCTTGTATATCTTCTTAGTGAATTGAGATATTTTGATGGATTATATCTTAAAAGAAAGCCCAAATAATGACTATTTTATTCCGGTATGATACGATCCAATTCAGATACTTCAAAAATTTTTTTGTAACCACCAGTTATAATTGTCAACTTAAGAATTGCGCATTGCTTTGGTAACTAATGAGTAAATCAAAATATTTTGATGACTGATATCTCAAAAGAAACCCTAATTAATCAGAATTTCATGATTATAGAGTAAATATAGTTTTAGTATCTATAATTTTTTTAGGTTCGATTACTTAGCTTTGCTTGAAACGTTCAAAATACCGATACAAATCTTTTTTTCAATAACTTCTGATTTAAATGAGATATCTTAACGAATCATATCTCAAAAGAAAGCCTAAGTAATAACAAATCCATTAGGATTCCTAAACTTTTACAATCTTGTTCTAACCAAAGGTTATAATTGTCTAAATAAGGTTGACGCAACTCTCTGATAACTATTGAATGAATGAAGATATTTTGATGACTCATATCTCAAAAGAATGCTCACTTAATCAGAATTTCATAAAATTTAGTCTGGTAGTCCGTTATATCGAGGTTTTACTGTGTCTTTATTGCAAAGAAAAGTATTAGAAAACGATAAAAATAAATAGATTATGTAGAAAAGAGAAACGAAATAATTAAAATTATTTCGCATTGTAATTTAAGAATACCTGGTAATAAAAACTTCATTATTGTTTTAAATTTCTAGGAAGTTGAGAAACCTTTACCAAACAACATATTATCTAACTCAACTTTGGATTATGAACCCATCGCTACATCAACCTTCCAAGTAACTAAAATCTTACAAAACATTTTCATTTTAAAAATAATTATTTCATATTTTAGGTTCCATTCAAAACTAAATCCTTAAAAAAACCTTTAAAACCAAATCACCTAATCCTAAATGCCTCCGACAATGGAGATTTCCCTGCCCAATACACAATAACACCAGTTGAAGGTCATCAATTTCCCACAGTTGGGGTTTACATTGATAAACGTATCCTACCTGGTTTTAAATACAGAGTTCGCCCTTTGTCCGCTTTGGGTGGCTCATCCGAACAAAAGAAATGTTTGTTCGGGGGACAAGGTTTGGTGTTAAAGTCAATTGGACGTGGTTATTCGAGAAGATTTACATTTGAGAACGAAAAATATTTCTGGAGTGACAATCGACCGGAAGGTTTTGCTTTCGAATTGGAGGTGGTTTCAAAAGGGGATAAATTCACCGTTTTCGATGTCAACAGAGAGGCCCAAGGGACGGCAGAAATCGTTGAAATTGAGGTAGGGTCTCGAAAAGATAAAGGAACTTTAAAAATGAAAAAAAAAAAAAAAAAGTCAAAATAAGTATGTCGATTATTCGTTGTCTCGCCTTTCCTTGCGTGGTTTACACGTAAGGAAAGTCCTCTATTTAAAAAATTGTTGCTAGAATCCTCCAAGCAGATTGCTTCTTCCTGCTACCGACAGGTTGATCCGTGCAGATCGATCTGAACCAGCGGTTTATAAAGGCGGAATGCCGCGTCGTAAGTTAAAAACTAAAAAAAGTATTTTTGAATATTGCTCGGGATGTTTGCTATGACATTACTCACTCTTTCAGGAGAAACAGGTTGAAATAGGTACTGCGGTTGGCGTGGAAGCGATCGAGAAAAGGGTTAAAGTAACAATGACGGCTAAAGTTGAATTTTATGAAACGGGGGTTGCCCAAATGATGCCCGTTAGCGGAATCGCCATTTGCGTTAAAAAACCCGGACAAGATCGTGCTCTCATCAAGAAGATTATTAACGTTAACATCAAACATCACAGGTATTATTTTACCCCAGGATTTAAGAACGCTTTTCGTAGAGTTACCGTCCAAGGAATCGACATCAATGATTTACCAACTAAATACACCATGACTGGTTTACAACCATATGAAATTCCTGTCGTAGGTAATAAGAAAATAACAACCTAAAAAAAAAATAAAAATTATTTATTTAATTATTATAATTTAGGAACTTACGTGGATCCAAGAATCATTCCAGGATTTACTTATCGCATCCGCCCAAATGATCGCAAAAAACATCTTTTTAATGGAGAATCTCTTAAATTACAAAGCATTGGAATGGGTTACGCTAAAAGACTGACTTTTGAATCAAACACCAAACTAAACCCATCCAATTATTTGTGGTCTGATAATCATAGGGATGGTTTAGGTCTGGAACCAAGAGCTGTTCTAAAAGGGATGAAATTCAAGGTGCTTGCCGGCGATCAAATTCTTGGCGAAGCTACAGTTTTTAGAGATGATCTCCCACAAACTGAAAAATTTATGGAAAAAGTAAGAAAGAATTTATTTTGTAATAATTGATGTTTCTAATTAATATTTTAGGAGTTAACATCAACCGGAAAATATTCAATAACAAAATACATTCAAATAGACGTGATATGTCACATAAAATTAGAATGTAGTAGATTATCCGAAAACGAGCAATTATTGAGAGTGTGTGGATTGGCGGTTGTCCAAAAACTACCGGGAAATAACCAGGCGAAAGTTTTAAAGGTCGAAAATGTCGGTTTGGATTCCCAATTATATTTGCTCTTTGCACACTCCCAAACAGAGTTGACCTTTATTCCTGCTTAAAATAAAATTATCGATCTGTTTTATGGATTTACTTACCAGTTGGACTGATGAGAAGATTTAAGGAAAGAAATAATGATATTAACCAAAAAACTCAATCAAAACTTTTTTAAATTAAAACTTGTTTTTTATTATTATAATTATCTCTATTTTATGTTTTATATTATAATTAGTTGAATCAATAAAGATTTTTTTCATTAATTTGTGTTGTTTATTTTCTAATTGTGGAAGAATATACCTTTGAGTTGATTTTCGCTTAATTTTTTAACTTCACCTTTAAAGAAAATAATTTTTTTTTGACTATTCTAAAATAATTAGTGGAAATTGATACTCATGTGAAGTTACCCATAAATTCCATCTATAAAAAAACTTTTTTGTTTGTGTATCGATTTGAACGATTAATAGAGCCTAACATAGTTTTGGCGACGCAGATTTAGCACCTTAAATTATATTAAAATACATCAAAAATTGTCTAACTTTAGAGTCCTAAAAACTTTAAAACTAATTAATATAAAATCATGTATGATTACCAAATCAGAATGCGTATACTGTCTTCTACACAAAAATGAATTTTAGTTGTCGCTAAATCATCGGTAATTAGAAAAGTGGAACAAAATACAAACCTGTTTCCAGCCGTACGTGGCGCCAGGCAATTCTTTGAAAAGCAAAATCATACCCATAAATATAACTTTTTTGTTCGTTTTGTAGATCATGTCGTAGTAATAGCGGCATGAAATTTAAACAATCAACTTATTTAAACAATTAAAAACGTTATGAATAATTATATCCATAAATATAAGTAACTAATAAATATAATTGAATACGAGATGTGTAATAAACGCAAAGTCAAACAAAGTGCCAGAAGAGACTTGGGCGAAACGCTTACGGAACAACAGAAGTTGTTAAGAAAGTGATGGACACAAAAATTAAACAAATTAAAACAAAATTTGACAATCAGCCAGATTACAATGCCACTTAAAATGTCGAAAGACTATGTAGGTAGCCGTGTTCAATAAAGAAAAGTTATACTACAGCAGTTTTCAAACCCTTTTACAGCACAAAAATATCTCTGATATGTACTTCATTAATAAATAGAACCAACGTCCACACATTCCCGTCCCAACAATCTTTAAATTTAGTCAGTTTACATAGTGCTAAAAGAAAACAATACCACGACATTCAATGGCATTGGACGTTAATGTTTGCAATTAATATACAATTCAGAATATGAAAATACGATTTTTAACAACAGCCAGGAACATTTAAAACAAATTTCAAAACCACACCGTTGGGTAAATATAAACTTAGAAAGGTAAATTATCTTAAATTATTGAAACTTTATTAAAAAAACTCCGACTCATTAAAGGAGAAATGTCTCTATTGCGCTGCAGAGGTTCATAATGAATTCAAACGCAAGGAATGCTCGCAGATGGCCTATGATATCTGCAAAAATAGTTTGGAAGAGCTGTGTGAATTTTGTAGACACCGACCCTAAACTGTAATTGTATACGATACAATAAAAATGTGCCCTGAATTTTTGTATACAATTTAATGTAGCAACTAAATGTAACTACAATTAAAATAGATTTTAATAGTTTACTACTTATACAATTTCATTTAATTGATCTCATTTTGTAAATAATTGTTGTAGCGAGTTTTAGATACTCATTATGTCGTTAATAATAATAAATTGTAGAATTTTATGAATATATTGCGTTTTTACTTATTACAAAAGTCGGATAATTACTAACAATGTTTAAAGGACTAAGAATATGATTATTTATAACGTTTTTAATCGTTTAAATACCATTATTGTTAGAATTTCACGCCGCCGTTACTATGACATGTAGATCATGTAGACCACTAGTGATGGAACGGATAGTGATTTTGCGAAAAGCCGGATACCGGATATTCGGCATCCCCTTTGGCCGGATATCCGGTTATCCCTCATATCTATCCGGCCATTATGGCCCTACATGAAATTAATAAGAAAGCTGGTTAGATACGTCAACTTATTTGGATCCAAGATACAAAATGAACTTTTTTGATGCTGATTTAACTATTGGTGATATTTTCACAAGGATCCTGCAAGAAATTAATTTTATAGCGAATTTTGAAAATTATCGATGAAAATTGCATCATCGAAAATTTTATCAAAACTTCAAATATTGTTTTCTCAAAAACTAAAAGTTATTTTACAAAACGTGTTGGTTCATTGCAAAGAGGTCACTGTTATTAACACTTTGGAAAATTTTCATACTCATATTCCAAGAACTGGATTTTATACGAATTTTTAAAACTTAATCGGCGAAAATCGCAAAATTCGAAAAAATTGTCGATCATTTCAAAAAATTATTTCTCAAGAACTGAAATTCATTTTTCAAAACGGCTTTTTGCTTTAAAAAGAGGATACTTTAATTAATAATTGGTGATATTTCAACAAGGATCCTTCCAGAAATTAATTTTATAGCGAATTTTGAAAATTAACGATGAAAATTGCAACATCGTAAATTTTACCAAAACTTCAAATTTTGTTTTCTCAATAACTAAAATTTATTTTTCAAAACGGGTTGGTTCATTGGAAAGAGGACACTCTTATTAACACTTTGGGAAATTTTCATACTCATATTCCAAGAATTGGATTTTATACGAATTTTTAAAACTTAATCGGCGAAAATTGTAAAATTCGAAAAAATTATCGATCATTTCAAAAATTTACTTCTCAAGAACTAAAAGTGATTTTTCAAAACGGCTTTTTGCTTTAAAAAGATTATACTTTAATTAATAATTGGTGATATTTCAACAAGGATCCTTCCAGAAATTAATTTTATAGCGAATTTTGAAAATTATCAATGAAAATTGCAACATCGCAAATTTTATCAAAACTTCAAATATTGTTTTCTCAAAAACTGGAAATTATTTTTCAAAACGGGTTGGTTCATTGGAAAGAGGACACTTTTATTAGCACTTTGCGAAATTTTCATACTCATATTCCAAGAAATGGATTTTATACGAATTTTTGACACTTAATCGGCGAAAATTAGAAAAAATGGTCGATTATTTCAAGAACTAAAAGTGATTTTTCAAAACGGCTTTTTGCATTAAAAAAAGAATACTTTAATTAATAATTGGTAATATTTCCACAAGGATCCTGCAAGAAATTAATTTTATAACGATTTTTGAAAATTATGGATGAAAATTGCAACATCGAAAATTTTATCAAAACTTCAAATATTGTTTTCTCAATAACTAAAAGTTATTTTTCAAAACGGGTTGGTTCATTGGAAAGAGGACACTTTTATTAACACTTTGGGAAATTTTCATACTCATATTCCAAGAAATGGATTTTATACGAATTTTTAAAACTTAATCGGCGAAAATTGCAAAATTCGAAAAAATTGTCGATCATTTCAAAAATTTATTTCTCAAGAACTAAAAGTGATTTTTCAAAACGGCTTTTTGCATTAAAAAGAGGATACTTTAATTAATAATTGGTGATATTTCCACAAGGATCCTTCAAGAAATTAATTTTATAGCGAATTTTGAAAATTATCGATGAAAATTGCAACATCGAAAATTTTATCAAAACTTCAAATATTGTTTTCTCAATAACTAAGGGTTATTTTTCAAAATGGGTTCGTTCATTGGAAAGAGGACAGTTTTATTGACACTATGGGAAATTTTCATACTCATATTCCAAGAACTAGATTTTATACGAATTTTTAAAACTTAATCGGCGAAAATTGCAAAACTCGAAAAAATTGTCGATCATTTCAAAAATTTATGTCTCAAGAACTAAAAGTGATTTTTCAAAATGGCTTTTTGCATTAAAAAGAGGATACTTTAATTAATAATTGGTGATATTTCCACAAGGATCCTTAGAGAAATTAATTTTATAGCGAATTTTGAAAATTATCGATGAAAATTGCAACATCGAAAATTTTATCAAATCTTCAAATATTGTTTTCTCAAAAAGTGAAAGTTATTTTTCAAAACGGGTTGGTTCATTGGATAGAGAACACTCTTATTAACACTTTGGGAAATTTTCATATTCATATTCCAAGAAATGGATTTTATACGAATTTTTAAAACTTAATCGGCGAAAATTGCAAAATTCGGAAAAATCGGTATCCGGCCGGATTTAAAAAAATGGCCGGATTCCGGATATCTGTTCCACCACTAATCTACACACTATCATCTACTATACCAGACTTTTTATATAAATGTCTTGCCAAGATCGACCGTAGGGTCTAAAAGCTTTTTTTACATTTTAAAAGTAACCTTCGTTTTTTTTTTTGGCTCTGACGCCTAGGTGTAGATATTTCAAATTCATGATTTTGTTGGCGATCGACTCAAAACGGCTTCGCGACCGACGTTATGGACACCACTGTACTATACCCTTTCCAAAAAGGTATCACATATTAAAATAGGACCATTAATAATAATGTTATATTTAGGCGCCAAGCGCCACATACGTCTGGAAACACGTTCGTGTTTTGTTGCACTTTTGTGTAAAAGACTATATACGCATTCTGATTTGGTAATCATACCTGATATTAGGTTAATTAGTTTTAAATTTTTGGAACCCTAAAGTTAGAGAATTTTTTTAAGTATTTTACTGTTTTTTGCAGAATTTAAGGTGCTTCCGCCAAAACTATGTTAGGCTCTACCCAACGAGATTTTTCTAATAAGCTATTAATCATTCAAATTGATAGACAAACAAAAAAGTTTTTTTATGGATGGAATTTATGGGTAACTTCACATGGGTAAAATTGATACACATTTTTACTTACCACTAATATCTTTAATATTAGCATCTTTTTGTTGAAGCGCAACATAAAACTCCCTTAAATTCGACCGTTTTCCAATAATCCAATTATCATTTAAAGTTTTCACAATAGTTTCACTTGCATAATCATCAACCGATTTCCTCGCGCATATATCAGCCATTATTTTAACGCAATCTTTCGGACAAGACAAATTACCGGTTTGAATTTTATCAAGATGGGTCGTACTTTTATAAGCCAAATTCATTTTATTAAAATAAATGTATTTCGGTGAAACTTCAAAACTTGTATTTGCCATCAAAGCGGAGGATGCGTTTTGTTTCGAGTAATATTCGGCGATATCGGAAACGATCCCAACAAGTTTTGGACCCATAAATTCTTCGAGGGATTTTATAATTTGGCCGGTTACTTCTTGTCCATCTTCGATAAATAAACAAATAGATGCGCTTAAAGTGCGATAAATTAACATGTTGTAGTAAGTTGATTCATTATTTTTTGTTAAAACGATTTTTGGAAGTTTTCCAACGCAATCGGTACTTTTTACGTTAACAAATCGGCCGTAATGAACGGGTGAAAAGGGTGAGGAAGGATTTCGGGGCATTGAACCGCCTTGAAGCTCGTTTTGAGTGTATGTTGGTAACAAAATATTTACTAAGTATTGGTACAAAGTTTGCATTTCTTCTGGTTCTATTCCACTCCAAATTACGTGTTCGTTGTACATGAATAAAGTGTGATTAATAATTGGGTACTCACATTCCATTTCATTTACAAAACATTGAACATTTAAAAAATTTTGGGTGTCCAATGGCAAAAAGTGGATCCCATTGAATATATTTAATATATCACATTGATCTAATTTGATCGTTTTTAAATACTACAAAATAATTTTTGATTTATTCATTTTTTTAAGCAAAAAAGATCTTACGGTATCATAAAATTTTTGTAGTTTACTTTTAAGACCGTTAACATCCAATTTTTCTAAAGATATTTGGAAAGTGCTATTAAAAAGCTTGTACATTTTATATGATTGCTCTAAAATTGCTTTATAAACATTATCTTGAATTTCAGATTCAATATATTCTCTTGTTGTTGAACCATCTTTTGTAATATCCGAATAAGGAACATTTAATGTCTAAATTTTTAAATTAATTAATCAAAAGTAAAAAAGGATGAGATTTTTGACTTAATTACCAATACAATCCAAAATTTATCTTCCGGTTGGAAATATAATTGCCTCTTCTTTTGCGTATGCAACGAATTTACTGGACTGGATGGTTTAAATGTACTTGAAACAATAATTATGATTAAAATCAAAATATTTTTGTTTATACACCTGGTGAAATTTCAACTTACTTTGTAAATTGAATCAAAGCTTCTACTAAACCTACGCTTTTCATTTGAAAGTCTAAATCTTGATTATTCGGATAATAATATAATATTTTCATGTGTTCCTAAAAAAATTAAAGATAATTGAAATTATTAATTTTTAATAAACATAAATACGCATATTTACCTCCCCTTCATTTACACCGAGGGTGGAATTAAAAATAAAATAGTTATTTAATGTTATTTCAGATTTCATTCTTGCAAAATTTTTGAGGTTATGTGAAAGTAAACAGAAATTTGACGTTTTAGTGACTTTAGGGAATTTTGATGAAATTAATTTATCAAATTAAATATAAATTAAAATTACATTATTTCTAAATCTTTAAAAAGTACACGAAAAATAATTATTATAACTTATTTCAACTAAATTTATGTTATTTTAATAGAAAGATTAAATTTTATATTTATTTTAGGGAGTTATCAAATTTAGTTGTCCAACCTGTCAATTAAGTGAATTCAAATTATTTTCAAAAAAATAAATAAATAGAAAATAAACATTTAATTAGGTTTATTTAATAGAACAGTAATCCTCCAGCCATTTAAAACATATAATTACATTCATTTATTATTTATACATATTTCTTAAGTGGTAAAGGTACGCTTTATTCAATGAGTTCTGGCCGAGTTCCATTATGTACAATTTTGCAACATTTTGTTGTTGTTATAATCATAATTTGTATCATCGACGTTCTGCCAATTCTTCGGTATTCTTAGGTTGCTTCCGAAAGGACTTTGAGCTGCTAATAGCTCCAAAAGGATCCTGAAGTGGAAACTTTAACTGCCGAAGCTTTATAACCAAGGTAATTATTGCTACCTGTTTGCTAATTGATCATTGATCGTGTTACTTTCAACTTACAGATGAAAGGCAGACTCATGAAAGGCTAGACACAGCTAATAGAAGACTAGATATATAAAAATAGAAGATTAGATAAGGGTGGGAGAAGATAAGGGCTGGTTAGAAAATACTAAATACTACTGACAGAAAACTGTATACCATTGTCAACAAAGGATAATGCTACAGGAACACTAAATATTGCTAATAGAAGATTAGAACCTGCTTGTAAGAAACTATATATATATTTGTGGTAGAAGACTAGATTTTGCTAATGGAAAACTAGACATTAGTTATAGCAGACTATATACTGTTTGCACATGAACAGATACTGGTGGCAGAATGTTTTGATACTGCTGAAAGAGGACTAAATATTGATAACGGAAAACCAGATCATTTAAATTTATGTTGTTTTAATAGATCGATCAAATTTTATATTCATTTTAGGGAGTTATAAAGTTTAATAAGTTAATAAATACAAAATAAACATTTAATTAGATTTATTTAATAGAACAGTAATACTCCAGCGATTTAAAACATAATTAATTTGTGTCATCGACGTTCTGCCAATTCTTAGGTATTCTTAGGTTGCTTCCGAAAGAATTTTGAGCTGCTAATAGTTCCAAAAGGATGCAGAAAACAGAAAATTTAATTTCCGAAGTTTTATAACCAAGATAATGATTGCTACCTGTTTGCTAATTGATCACTGATCGTGTTACTTTCAACTTACAGAGTATTATATACTGCTGGCAGAAGACTAGTTACTATTCATGGAAGGGTAGACACTGCTAATAGAAGACGAGATACAAAAAATAGAAGATTAGATACTGGTTAGAAAATACTAAATACTACTGACACAAGACTGTATACTATTATCAACAAAGGATAATGCTACAGGAACACTAAATATTGCTAATAGAAGATTAGAACCTGCTTGTAAGAAACTATATGTATATTTCTGGTAGAAGACTAGATTCTGCTAATAGAAGACTAGGCATTAGTAGTAGCAGACTATATACTGTTTGGAGATGAACAGATACTGCTGGCAGAATGTTTTGATACTGCTGAAAGAGGACTAAATATTGATAATGGAAAACCAAATTATATAAATTTATGTTGTTTTAATAGAACGATTAAATTTTATATTCATTTTAGGGAGTTATTACGTTTAATAAGTTAATAAATGTAAAACAAGTATTTAATTAGATTTATTTAATAGAACAGTAATACTCCAGCGATTTAAAACACATAATTAATTTGTGTCATCGACGTTTTGCCAATTCTTAGGTATCCTTAGGTTGCTGCCGAAAGGATTTTGAGCTGCTAATAATTTCAAAAGGCTGCTGAAAACAGAATCTTTAATTTCCAAAACTTCTTATAAGCAAGATAATGATTGCTACCTGTTTGCTAATTAATCACCGATTGTGTTACTTTCAACCATCCTTTTACCAAAATTTCTAACACTATGTAACGTATCCGCAAATTTATCCATTTATAGAAGACTAGTTCTGCATCGATAAAATTAAAGGCTGCTAATAACAGAGTAGACACTGCTAATAGAAGACTAGACAATGGGTGCGGAAGACTAAATACTCTTAATGGAGAACTAAATACTGCTTACAGAGTACTAGATGCTGCTGGCAGAAGACTAGATACTACTAATTGAAGGGTAGACACAGCTAATAGAAGACTAGATACATGAAATAGACGATTAGATACTGATTAGAGAATACTAAATACTACTGACAGAAGACTGTGTACTATTGTCAACAAAGTATAATGCTACAGGAACACTAAATATTGCTAATAGAAGATTAGAAACTTCTCATAAGCAACTATATATTTCTGGTAGAAGAGTAGATTCTGCTAATAGAAGACTAGACATTAGTTATAGCAGACTATATACTATTTGCAGATGAACAGAAACTGCTGGCAGAATGTTTTGATAGTGCTAAAAAAGGACTAAATATTGATAATGGAAAACCAAATCATTTAAATTTATGTTGTTTTAATAGATCGATCAAATTTCATATTCATTTTAGGGAGTTATAAAGTTTAATAACTTAATAAATACAAAATAAACATTTAATTAGATTTATTTAATAGAACAGTAATACTCCAGCGATTTAAAACACATAATTACATTCATTTATTATTTATACATATTTCTTAAGTGGTAAGGGTACGCTTTATTCAACGAATTCTGGCCGAAAGAAAATAGTTCCATTACGTACAATTTTGTAACATTTCGTTGTTGTTTTAATCATAATTTGTGTCATCGACGTTCTGCCAATTCTTAGGTATCCTTAGGTTGCTGCCGAAAGGACTTTGAGCTGCTAATAGTTCCAAGAGGATGCTAAAAACAGGACCTTTAATTTCCAAAACTCCTTATAAGCAAGATAATGATTGTTACCTGTTTGCTAATTGATCACCGATCGTGTTACTTTCAACCATCCTTTTACCAAAATTTCTAGCAGTATACAACGTTCTATCAGTTAGATCCGCAAGTTTATCCCTTTTACCAAAACCCCGAGAAGTGGATAATTTCATTTCGCTGAAACCTCTGGTTGGGCGATTTCCTTCGACGCGAAATTGCGACTTTAATGTTCTCGGACTTTGAATGTGGCTACAAAGAACAATCGTGCTTACGAATATACTGCAGATTAATAATCCAGAAACGGCCATTCTAAAAAAAGACGTAAGTTGAATTAAATAACACTCTTCAAAAAAATTATTCAATAAAAATTTCATTTTTATATTTATACGTGTGAGAAAGTTTAATTTTTCAATTAAAACGAGTTTTACAATGGTGTTTGAAATAGATTTTATGAAACTATCCTCCAATTACCAACCAGCTTGAAATAAATTTAATTTCACGTTTATTGCGTTTCGTAACATTTTTTAATTGCTAGAAACGAATATGAAACGTGTAATATTGAATTTCGTTGTAAACGGATTCAGTGAAAATTTACACTGTTCTTCTTTTTTTTTATTAAAGCTGGAGTTGTAATCAATCATACTTTTGTGTATATTCATTATGATAATTAAATAGATTTTTCTGAATTGTGATGATATTAATTAATGTAAACATTATAGATTGGGTAATTAGTAAAGATAACGTGGTTAATATATTAATCAATAATTTTATAATTAGATACCAGTAATACAATCATAATCTCAATTAAGTTAATTTAATACGTCTAAAGGGCACATAAATTTGTATCTGAGTGTGAGATCTGATATAAGATATGTGTGACAGCTTTGAAGGCAAGATGAAATCGTATATCAAGGTACGTAATGCAATTATATTGAAATAATCTGAGATAATTCAAAGAAAATCTCTAAGAATCATTTTGTTAAATGAATTTAATATCAGATAAAAATAAATAAATTTCGATAATATAGAAAGATGGATGAAATAATGTTGAATTTCACACTCAAGCAGTTCAAGATTGATATTGATCTCTTAGATTATCTCTGCAAGTCTCGTTTGCGATACTTTGTCTTGGTGTAAATGTGTTGAAACGCGACAATGTTTCTATGTCTCTGAACTGATTTAAAATCTCAGCTAATTAAGGTGCCTTTTAGAACTAAAATTCCACATTAAAGTGTATCACAAACTCAAACTTAAACAATATTTCAATTTAAAAAACACTTTTGTTTCAACAATATCTTATTTTGATAAATAACCAGCAACGGTGCAAAAAAGAAGAACCACGAAGACGTCTAAGAGGACTAGAATTTATATAATTGGCAATTGTTGCCAAAGAATTAAGCCCTTCTTGCAAAGGTGGACACGATAAATAAAATAAAAAAGACAGGAAATGCCTTAATTTCCGATAAAACTTCTTTCATCTTTATAGAAGACTAGTTCAGCTTCGGGATTATTGATTCCTGCTAATGACAGAGTAGATACTGCTAATAGAAGACTAGATATTGGTTACAGAGTACTAGATACTGTTGGCAGAAAACTACATGCTGCTGGCAGAAGACTAGATGCTACTAATAGAAGGGTATACACTGCTAATAAAAGACTGGATACATGATTAGTTGGAAATACACTAAGTACTACCGACAGAAGACTAAATACTATTATTAACAGAGGATAATGCTACTGGAAGACTAAATATTGCTAATAGAAGATTAAAAACTGCTTGTAAGAAGTTGAATACTTCTAACAGAATACTGAATACTGCTAATAGAAGACTAGACATTGGTAATAGGAGACTATATATTGTTTGTAGATGACCAGATACTACTGGTACAATGTTTGGATACCGCTAATAAAAGACTAAATATTATTAATGGAAAACCAGATACAAAAAGGCAGATATTGTTTACAGAAAATTATATATAGCTGGAAGAGACTAGATATTACTGATATTAGATTAGATACTGCTCGCAGAATACCACATATTGTTGGCAGAGGACTACATATCATTAGTAGAAGACTAGATACTACTGTAACATTAGGTACTGCTAATAGCAGATTAGATATTATTAATATAAGACTTTACACTGTTAATACAAGAATAAACATTGGTTATAGTAGACTATATACTGCTTGCATATCACCAGATACCCATGGAAGAAATTTTGGATACTGCTGACAGAACTAGATATTTTTAATTGAAAAGTAGATACACAAGAGGAGATTTTGTTTATAGAAGTCGAGATACTGACTGCAAAGAACTAAGTACTGTCGGACGAACACTAAATATTGCTGGTTGAAGATTTGATATTACTGAAAGACTATATACTGTTAGTAGAAGACTAGATCATTGGTAACAGCAGACTATATACTGCTTGTAACTAGTCAGATAGCTCTGACAGAAGAGGATTAGATATTGATAATGAAAAACTAGATACAGAAGAGTAGATATTAATCACAAAATACCACATATTGTTGCTAGAGGAGTAAATACTGTTAATGGTAGATTAGATGCTACTCGCATTTGTATTAACTGTTTGGGTTGAGACTAGTTGATGAAGAAAAGCATTCTCTACTTCAATAAAGACACTGTCACCATCCAATATATAGATATTACTCGCAGAAAACACCATACCGTTAGTAGAAAATCACATATTGTTAGCAGATATGCTGCACATGAAAAGTTAAATACTAAATACAAGAAATGGAAAACTAAATACTGGTTGAAAAACATTAAATAGTATTAAGTAGTAAAAAAATTGATACTGATGTCAAAGAAGTGGCATAAGAGTTTCATGATTTTGTTTTGAGATTGAGTTTTTATTGATGGCTATGAGAAAACAGTAAATAATTTGAGTACACAGCAAGATGAGATCACCGTGTTCTGGGTGCTAATCCACACCGTTGTGGCTCTGCAATCACAGTCAAGATCTGGCAGAACCCGATATGGATCTTAAATGTGCCATGGACCTTAAAATTCAAAACACAATGTAATGCAACCTAAGAATACATTTGACGCAATAAACCAAGAATGATAGGTGAAGAAATCTTGATCGTAATTTTCTTATAATCTGAATAAAATATGTATTATAATCTAGGGTGCAACTATTTAACGTTCTTAGAGAATTTAATATACCCTCAAAGTTAGTATATCAATTATAGCGTGAAGGAATGTTAGGAAAGGTCAGTTTTATTTTGAAACCTCAATTATAGCGTGAAGAAATCCCAATTATAGCGTGAAGGAATGTTAGGATAAATCAGTTTTCTTTTGAAATCCAAAAACCAATGACTGTTGTTCTGTGCAGCCTCAAATTAGGATTTGCAGTTGCATTTACAGCTTTCCAATCGTATAACTTTTATTTTTTTACTGATTGAGAGGGACACTTGCTTTCTTTCTTGCTCTATTGACTTTAGGAATTTCACTCTGAATAATGTTCCATGTCCCAAAAATCATTTCCTTGCATCGATGCAGTTGTCACCTTGAAGTTTCATGTAACCACGATGTAGTAGCTTCGCCATTTCCTGACAGGAGAATCTTGAATAGGTAAAAGTGGAAAAAGTTTTGGCAAATTTGACGATTTTAAAAGTGAACTTATGGCGACAAAGAGAAACCCCAAAAGATAGTAATTGTAAAGAGAAATTATGCTATTTGTACTTATCAGCTAAGAGTTGCCTTGCAGATAACTTAACTAGTGTCATCGCTACCGTTAAGAACTCTGATCAGATTGAAATAGCCACATGTAGCAATTCGTTCTGCCTATCACAGTAGCAGTCCACTGAAGGTGAAAAGTAATAATCGGGGCACACCCTGGTGGAACGAATCTCTTAGCTCCGAAAGGCAAGAGGTCCGAAAGCTTTTCAACCGGGCCAAGACATTAGGTGAATGGGAGAAATGTAAACAAGCTCTAACGAATTACACCAAAAGCATACGTAAGGCAAAAAGAGAGTCTTGGGGGATGTTCTGTGAGGGAGTGAAAGACACACCCAGCAGTGCAAGAAGTCACAAGATTCTCGCTAGAGATCCAGCACTACCCCTGGGCTCACTTAAGCGGCCTGACGGTAGTTTTACGGACTGTAGCAGAGCCTCCTTAGAGCTTTTCATGCAGATTCACTTCCCAGGAAGTTTGATGATGAGAGCTGATACGCTGCCACAGTAGGCTATTCCTGCAAGGCAAAGCGCCCCTCAAATACGGATTGGAGTGTGGCTAGAAAAGTCGTGGACCAGCCGTTCAAATCGCCTGGAGAAGACAATATCTTTCCCGCTTTGTTACAGCAAGGAAAGTCACTGTTGTTGCCAATTTTGGTAAAAATTTTCAGAGCGAGTGTCGCCTGGAAATATGTACAGGCAGAATGGATCAAGGTAAGGGTATCTTATATACCCAAAGCGGGCCGTTCCGTCCCTACTCCTAATGCCTTTTGACCCATCAGCCTAAATGTCATTTCTGTTGAAAACCCTTGAAAAAGTTCTGGAACAGTATATCCGTACGGTGTTATCTGGTCCATTGAGTCGCCACCAGTATGCTTATCAAGCGAGAAAATCGGCAGAATTGGCACTACACAACTTAGTTGGACGCTGCAGGATAAAGAAATCTTGGTTTGTGCGTTTCTGGATATAGAAGGAGCGTTCAACAACGCAATACCACAATCTCTTGAAAGAGCTGCTCTTGACAGGGGAGTGGAAGCAACTATAGCGGGTTGAATCCGCAATATGTTTGATAGTAGAATAGTTTCTACTTCACTCCAAGGTGACACGATACGCTTCAGGCCGGGAGGTGGCTGCCCGCAGATCTGATTGCGATAGTCGAAGCTGTTGGTGTAGAAATACAAGTTTATGCTGATGACGTTGTCGTTATGGTCAAAGGAATCTGTTTGTCGAGGCTATCTAAACTCCTCCAGATGACCCTAGATACCATTTGCGCTTGGTATAAGGGAGAGAACCTCTCGATAAACCCGCAAAAGACAATTGTTGTGCCCAGGAAACGAAAGTTGGATGGACTAATCCGCCCAACTATCCAAGGTGAAGAAATTCCTTTCTCAAACGAAGTCAAATATCTAGGAGTAATTCTAGACAAAACCTTGTCATGGAATGGACATTTGCAGGGAATTTTGCACAAAGCTAGACTATCCTTGTGGACTTGTCGCAATCTTTGTGGAAAAAATTGGGGTCTTACACTTAAAACATCTTTTATTTTTATAGAAGACTAGTTGTGCTTCGATAAAATTAAAGGCTGCTAATGACAGAGTAGATACTGTTT